TTTCCATGTAAATCATGTAATTCTTCTCAAGTAATTGACCAATAATCAAGAGATTACATTTAATTCCAAGAATATATAGCACAGCTTTGATCAAGGAATGACCCTCATCCCTTCTCATGATCAAAATATCATCGACGTTGTCGACAGCTAAAGTGGTGTCATTCGCGAATTTCACCTAATTCTTTGTGGCTTGATTGATTTTGATAAATCAATCCTTTCTACCCGTCATATGTGTTGAACAATCAGAATCTAAGTACCACTCATCACTGGCTTGGACTCCATCTCGAACTACTACCATTACGTTTTTCTGCAGCATTTTCGAACTTCTGCCACTGTTGTCTAACAACTTGCAGCTACTGTCAAGCAGCTTATTACTGCCATAATTCTCCTCTTTGATCATGACCATAAACGTGTTATCATCATCTACATCCCGTCGAGCAACCTTAGCCTCATCGCTTTGATTTTATCTTGATTTCGCATTACAATCCCTTATGAAATGACCAAGTCTATGGAAATTGTAACACTTCACATTACTCTTGTCAATCTTCTTGGTGTAGTTGCTTTGACCACTACCTTTGAAGCTGCTCTCACCTCCATCCTTTGTTCACGAGCCTCAAGCGAGCTTTGAAGCTCCTCCTTGCTCAACGTCGGAAGGTCCTTTGATTCTTCAATTTCAACCACAATGTTGTCGAATCTTGACGTTAAATAATGCAAGATCTTTGATACAAAACTCTACTCCAAAATAGTTTCTTCGCAAGATTTCATTTGATTCACCAAATGCGTAATGTCGTTACGTAGTCGTTGATTGACTCTTTTTCTTCCATTTGCACAAATTCGAACCATCGCTTATGAGTTTGTAATCTCACCACCTTTGCTTTATCAGTCCCTTCATAAGATTTCTTCAAGATCTCCCATGCTTGCTTCGCTGAATCGCAATCGCCAACTTTTTCGAAGTTGTCATTGTCGACACAAGAATGAATCAAGAAGAATGCCTTGTAGTCTTTCTTCTTCTCTTCCTTGAATGTAGCCTTCTAAGCATTTGCAGCTTCTTCCTCAAGTGGTGTAACACCATTGTTAACCACTTCAAAAATGTCTTGATATTCAAACAAAACTTTCATTTGTTTGCACCACTTATCATAGTTTTTTGAATCAAGAGTTAGAAGATTGGTATGTACTCGATCATTGAAAACGGTAGTCATCTTTACAACGAATCAATGGATCAAAATCAAGGCTCTTGATGTCAAATGTTGGAACAAACACAAAGCTTGAAGGGTGAATCAATGGAGAAAAATGGTTGATTGAGGAAGGTGAAGTGAAATTATGAGAAAATAAGAGATAAAGAGTAATTGAGGAGAATATTCATAAAATGACATTAAATTTCACAACATTACATGAATGAGTATTTATATGGATATAATAACAAGTTGGAACCAAACAGACCCAAAAAACTACTCAAAAAACACAAAACACGAGGCAGAAATCGATTTCCCCATCTAAAAACTAAAAATACAAAAAGATAAAAAACTGACCAAAGTTGTGGAAATCGATTTCCACATTCTAGGAAATCGATTTCCTCTTCGATAGTTTGATTTTCCAGATTTTTAGAAGTTCTTTTTTAATAAGTTTTCAATGAAATGCTCCCAGAAGCTTTCACAGTGCATTTTAATTATTAAGGACTTCCAATAATTTAAAAATAGGTAACATTTCATGAAGGTTGCAATAGACAGTTTATATTTTACATCAAAAATAGGCAACACTTCGTGAAGTGATGCAGAATGTGAAACGGTACAACTTTTGAAAATAATTGTTGTAGGCGAAACAATGCAACGTTTGGAAAATGCTGATATAGGCGAAGCAGTGCAATATTAAGCAAAAGTGTTGCTGAAAGTGTGTGTTTCATCAAAGGTCTCAACTTTATGAATTAATATCAGTTTGACCAATACATTGAGCGTTTCAGATTCAGAAAAATAACACAAACGTACATCCTCTTCAGCTAAAATTCTAAACACTTTTTATTACATTCGAGTTTTCGTCGATCTTGCGCAAATTCGATAAAAAACTGAATTATCTTAAATATTCTTGTATAAAAACTCTAAGATAATTTAAGAATATTTGAAATACTATAAAAAAAAAAGTGATTCGCTCACGATTCAAGAATCAAAATTCAAAAGTTTATGAACATTAAATTAAATTAAAATAAATAAAAATTATGAAACATTTCACATGTGAGAAAGAAAGAAAAAGTATGTAATTTGCTTGAAAATTCCGCTTCATGCTCGAGGTGAATAGAAACTTATTCTATATGACCAAAAACCAAAACTCGAAGAAATTTATGCAGATGTTGTTACAATGACTCACTGCTCATGAGATCTGTTAACCTTTATATAAATCTATCTACCTGGGAAAATTTAGTCAAAAATAAATTTAAAAAAATCATTTCACTACCGAATGAGTGAGGTGATAAAAGGAAAAAGGTTAACAAATGGCACAAAGTTTTATGCATAAGTTTATCCTTAGCTTAATTTAATTCACTCTTATCGTGATTCTGGTCAAGAAATCAATTTAAGACTAATTAATTATGTATTTTTGCTTTAGTCTGCATTCGGTTGTTTGCAGTTAATAAGGTAATTACTTGCAAGTATCCATACCGACACGAGATAAGATGCTATGAAACGTGATATTTGTAGGATTCGTTATGCGTGCGCATATAACTTTATTGTCTCACGTAAAGTTTATATTAATATTTTCGTTTTAATAAATAAAACTTAATTTAAAATAAATATTAATTTTACTTTTTATATAAAAATAATTATTATTTTTTTAAGTGTTTTCTTTAATTATTAAACTTTATATTACATATTTATAATATTTATAAGATTAATTTAATAAAAATACAATCTTATAATAACATTATTATATTTATTAATTTGTATGTAAAAATTTTAAATGACACTTATTTTAAAATAAAAAGAATAATATATTATAAACGTTTACAGTTATGTAAGTATATACTCCTTCTGATTGTATTTATAAGAAAAAAGTTGTTTTTTAAATACATTAATCAATATATCTAGATAATATATAAATCTGATATATTACATATTCAATAAATCTAAAAAATTAACTTTTTATAAATAGAGCTGGAAGTAGTATTAACAAATTATATTGTAAAAATTTATTAACGATAATAATATATAGTGTGAGAATATGCACCTTTGTGAGAGACACACTACTTATCCACCTAAAATTTTAAGGTGATAGGTGAGTGAATTCTCTCACTTATATATGTTTAAGTCTCCACATTCATATCTAATGTAGGACTATTTCCGCATTTACTCACACTTGCTATATTATTTCAACACTCCCCCTCAAATGTGAATCCATAATGCTCATCCACTTGTACCGCCGTTGACATCTTACAACGGGACACCACTTCCTGAGCGCATTTCGATACAAGTCTCTTCTGGTCTCTTTCTCGAACCAAAGACTCTGATACCAGTTTCAGAAGCATGTGTTTCTAACACATCTTAAGAGCCAAACGACACACGCATCTCGATCTTCCAACGATTCCAATTTTTACCATCAAACACTGGAAGTTTGGAGTTAATATCAACGTTTCCGTTCATCTTCAACTTTGTGCAATTGATGCAAAAAACTCACTAAAATACAGTGTTTCCCAAATCCCACAGAATCAGAAAAATGATTCTCAATCACACAATACCTCACTGTTCACTAGTGTTTCCCGTGTTTCCCCGTGGGTTTCGAACCGGAGCTCTGATACCAATTGTTGGGAGAGTTACTAGGAGCATCGATACATAGTGTAGGAATATACACTTTTGTGAGAGGCACACCACTTATCTACCTAAAACCATAAGGTGATAGGTGAGTGGATTCTCTCACTTATATATGCTTAAGTCTCAATCACTACGCCAAAAAAGACCTACGAAAGCGCTTTTTTTGGCCTTTAAAAGCGCTTAAAAGCGCTTTCTAAGGTGGCGCTGCTAAAGGTTTTAGCAGCGCTTTTTGTTTAATGAAAAGCGCTCTCATAGGTCTACTTATGACAACGCTTTTTCTAAAAAGCGCTCTCTTTAGTACCCTTATGGCAGCGCTTTTTCTAAAAAGCGCTCTCTTAAGTAGGCTTTTGGCAGCGCTTTTTCTAAAAAGCGCTCTCTTAAGTAGACTTTTGGCAGCGCTTTTTTATGAAAAAGCGCTTTCATTGGTGGCGCTTTTTTTGGAAAAAAGCTTTCATAGGTTGTCTTTTAGCAGCGCTTTTTCTTGGAAAAGCGCTGTCACAGGTCTACCTATGAAAGCGTTTTTTCTTGGAAAAGCGTTGTCATAGGTCTACCTATGAAAGCGCTTTATGTGAAAAAGCGCTGTCATAGGTCTACCTATGAAAGCGCTTTTCTCCAAAAAGCGCTTTCATAGGGTGTTTTTTTAGAGGTATTATTTATATCATTCATATACCTGCATTGTTTGCCATAACCTGTAATTCATAAAAATAGCGGTAATGCATTGTAATTCCGATACCCCGTTCTCGTACTTTTTCGACAATCGATTGGAATACAACCATGTCTTATCCATGGTTTACGGTTTCTGAGTCAAAACCAATACTCAATACTTTTCACTAAATTCATTTTATTCCATCAACTACTTTAGTACACAAGAAACCATAAACAAGAAACTATCATTGCTCAAAATCAATCATAAATTATGTTTGTATCTCAAATTATATATAAACCATTGTTATCTGTATTCTAACTCAAAGTCAGTCTTACAAAATCAACTCTAACAACAACTAAACCAGTCCTTATATTATTCTCTGCTCAATAAAATATTGACACAACTCCTCTTTGGTTTCTTCCAACTGAAGTTTCGTGTAATATGCACATTTGTACTCATCGAAGTACTACATAAGAAAACATAATATGCATGATTTAGTTAAAAGTAAAAAATTATATGGAATATCCGAGAAATAATAAAACAAATTCTAAGTTATAAATTCATACCGTGACTGGAATCTCTATTTGATTCAGTTGAATGATTTCTTTGATAAACCGCATAACGAAGTATCCGCAATCTATACCGTTTTGCTGTTGAGGACACTACATAGAAAAAAAAAAAAGAATATATAGTTGTATTATTTTATCAAATAGCGTAAATATTATAAGCAAAATAGTAGAAATTAATATACCTGCACTTTAATCCAATTAATGTTGTTTGATTTAGACCGTCGTACCCGAGCCTCTCTTTGACACCGGAATACTTGTATCGCTCTAACAAAATAAAAATATATATTTAGAACAATGTCACAGAAATAATTAAATACATAAATACACACAAGTATTTAGAATAATCTCACTTACGTATCAATCATTAACTTCATATCCGGATAATTTGTCCAATCACCGTCAACCGAATTCAGATAATAGACCACTTCTTTTATAGGATCGATAGCAACCAACAACCAGTGACGTCTATAAATTAAAACAACAGTTTAGAAGAAATTTTTCTACGCAAAAATTACAAATATTAAAATGAATTTAGAATGAAAATCTAACCCTGTAGGAACAGTATTATACACCCAAAGATATAAGCTTTCTGTACTGCCAGTTGCCATGAATCTTTCGACTAAGTGCTCTCTTACTGAATTCGGTTCCCTACCAATTGTCGCTCCGCTGACACGGGAGGAAGACACAAAAGGGAATCTGTTTGACAATTGATTCCCGCGCATCAATTTGTCATATAACAGCCTTAAATAGAAACATAATTAATATTAGAGTATATTCATTGAAAATGTTTAAAAAAGATTTCAGCTAATTACATAATATAAAGATGGGGTTACCGGATGTATGCGTGCATAATACTGACGCCCAATTCTTTATGACGGAAAATCTGTTCCACGTCCTCATGTCCAATTATTTCTGTACAAGGAAAACCAAAAATACCTTGATCCATATCAATTTGACGAATACCACCATCCATCAAATTTGTTGTTCCCACTATTGTTTCAAGACACTGCCGGTATCGAGGGAAAAATCTAGTAGGAACCCTTTTCTTGGGTGGTACGCCAACGATTTTCTGGCTCACTTGTTGTGACCCTTGAAAAGGTACCTAAAAATCATATAAACTCGGTTAAATTATAAAATTATGCAGTTTTTTATTCGGATCATATAATTAACAATTTAAACGTACCTCTTTTGGTGATACGTCAGACTCGTCGTGCCACAAAATCCCTTTACCCTTAGATGCGGGTGTTGTAGGAGTCTATAATTACCGTGGAAATAACTGAGGTCAGAACTGACAGTTGAAGACTTAAAGATTCATAATTGTTTTCAACATACCTGATCATCTATGAAAATGAGGTCGGATGGCCATGCAACAAAAGATCCAATTGCATCTCGCAGCAATGTGGTCTCAGCAACAATATCAGGTACCGGCAGCAATGCACCCATATCTAAAGCAATGTCAACCGATACTTTCATGTGACCATCCGGAAGCGGTCTATTATGAAGTAAATCTCCCGAACTGTTATGGACTTTTCCCTTGCCAACTAGTCGATAAGTCGGTGACGATAGGTATAGCTGGCAAGATGAAATGCCCTAAACCAATAATAACCGTTAGAAGTGACTAAAAATATTCTATAGTAATAACGGATATATATTGAAAATTACCTCGGGAAATTTATGCTGAAAGTTGATACTAGCTTTGTCACTAGTTTCTTTCAAGTGTGAACTGCTCTTTTCCGCCATATATCTCTCTTTATCCTTCTGCAATTCACGCACTTGAGCTTGTAAATCCTGCAATGTTTGCATCACTTCTGCATTGCTAGGATTTCTTCTCCTTGGATGCTTATACAAAGAGGTTGGAGTCACACCATGACCTTTACCCCTCACCCGACCCGGATACTCAGCAATATTTAGTGCTCGACTAAGTACGCTCCTGGTATCGTGAGGATCCTCACCTGGGGATACCGATTGGGACAAGGTCTCCTGTAATTCAATTACATATAAAAAATTATTAGTGGAGATAAAAAATTACTTAAATATTAATAAACATTAATTGATTTAACTAAAGACACAATCTTATACTTACACATTCATCATACACATGTTGAATATCGGGATTAACAACTTGATCCTTGCCCACACGGACTTCCTTCCACAATAAATGTGCCGATAGTGATGTTGTGTCACTTTTCGTCTCTTCTAACTACGCAATGACGGAGGTCTTAAGATCGTCAACTATATAACACATTGAGAGAATTAATAAGATCGTAGAGTTTATATTTACTTACAATTTTTTCCTCTAAGTGAGCATATCCCAAACGCCCTTTTTTGTATGGATATGCGGGTTTTGACGCTCTCTCGCGATTTATAGCACTCACTTTCTTGAAATTCTCATCTCTTCTTTGGCCTACAAAACCAACCCATTCTTCAGGTGTAATGAAGTTCTCATATTTCTTTGGACGTTCCGGATCCTCTTCAAGAAAAATTCCTTCATCATCTTTAAGATACTTGTTGGTTAAAAATGTTCTCCACCCTCTGTGTCTTTTTCCAGCCAAACCCATTATATACTTTTTACGGGTATCTTCAATGTTAAAAGACCTCTACAAAAAAACATACACATAAAGTGTGTTAGTAAAAGAAATTTAAACACATATTATCGTCAAGATAAAGCAAATAACAAAAACCATATATGTACCTTTATCTCAGTCCAAACTTTCTCCTTAGCCTCATCCAACTCTCCTCTTTTCCATCTAGGAGTGATGATCGGAATGTGTATACGAACAAGCGTACCAATGTAGCTTGTCAACTTTGCAGCATTAGACCCAATTAATTGGTCATTATCATTCCATTCTACATTATATGTTACTCCTCTATCTCTATCACGTATGATTCCCCTCATAATAGTAATACCTCGTGTAATATCTTTTTCTGAAGTATTTTCTTGAGTATTTTCAAGAGCATTTTCATTATCTTGATTACTAGCCATTTGACCTGTAATAATGGAAAAAAATAAACATGAAATGTCAAATAAAAATGAAATGACAAATATAAAAATGAAATGACAAATAAAAATGAAATGGCAAATTAAAATGAAATGACAAATATAAAAAAGAAATGACAAATAAAAATGAAATGGCAAATTAAAATGAAATGATAAATATAAATGAAATAGCAAATAAAAATGAAATGACAAATATAAAAATGAAATGACAAATAAAAATGAAATGGAAAATTAAAATGAAATGACAAATATAAAAATGAAATGGCAAGTTATATATACTATTACCCTTTTCACTAAGGTCTCTTTCTTTTCTTGGTAGGAATGTGTTCTACTCGTCTCTTAACAACGCGGACAGTTGGATTGATCCAAATACCCTCATTATGATCGTTTCTAATACATGATTCATTATCATTTTGATCAGTTATGGTTAAAGATTCAATGTCAACACCAATATCACTTTGATCTCCAATGCTTTCATCAATTACTTTGTTAGATAGTAGCACTATAGACCATTTCGTACTTGTCGGATCATTGACATAGAACACTTGTTTAGCTTGAGAGGCTAGAATGAAAGGCTCATCTTTGTACCCCACCCTATTAAGATCCACTTGCAAAAAACCTGACTTATCCATTCGTATGCCATTATTATTTTCAACCCACTTGCAACCAAATATAGGAATCTGAAACTTCTCGTAATCAAACATCCAAATGGGCTCGATAACCCCAAAATATGACAGGTTTGCAAATTTTGGGTTTAAGTCCTTCACACTTGATATATGCATTGCTTCAGAGATCAAGGTGACACCACTATTTTGCATAGTACTTTTGTCATCCTGTTCTTTGGTATAAAATGTGTATCCATTAATTGCATATGCGCTATAAGAAAACACAATTAAACTTGGACCGTATGCTAAACATCTCAATCTTTCTGTTACTGAAGCATGATCTGAACGATACTTTGAATAAATATGTTCCTTAAACCATGGTATGAAACTTCGATTGTGCTCTCGTACAATCCAATTCTCATTTCTATTAGGATTTAAACCTCGAAGAACACCCTTGTGAATTTCAACATACGGCTCAACTTCAAGCTCATTATGCAGAACATACAAATGCACTTGATCCCGTTCGACCATTGATACTGTCACAACTTTATTTCCAATTAGCTTCTTACCTTCTTTTTTTTCAACAATGTGAGATTTGGGGAGTCCAATTGATTGAACATTTGACAGATATTCAGTACAAAACTCAATCGCTTCTTCAACAATATATCGTTCAGCAATACAACCCTCTGGTCGACTTCGGTTTTTCATATACCCTTTTAATATTTTCATATAACGTTCAGTAGGGTACATCCATCTCATATAAGCTGGTCTGCACAGTTGTGTCTCTTTGACAAGATGAACGACAAGATGAACCATTATGTCAAAAAACGAGGGAGGGAAATACATTTCAAGATCACACAAAGTAACAATTATTTCTTTTTGCAATGTTGGTAAGATCTCAGGATCGATCACCTTGCTGCAAATTGACTTGAAGAAAAAACACAGTTTAGTTATTGCGCTTCTTACTTTTTCTGGAAGAATAGAACGTATACCTATCGGTAGAAAATGTTCCATTATAACATGGCAATCATGCGTCTTTAAACTCTTTAACTTGAGGTCTTGCATAGACACAAGTCTTCTAATATCTGATGAGTAGCCTTCTGGAACTTTAACCTCACTTAGGAACTTACACAATATTTTTTTCTCCTTTCTGGATAGAGTGTAAACAGCAGGTGGTAGATATGTTCGTGTTCCTTTTTTCACGGGTCCCAATTCAGTTCTTATTCCCATCTCTACCATGTCCTCCCTTGCTTTAAGACCATCCTTAGACTTCCCTTTTATATTGAGTAACGTACCAATAACACTGTCAAATACATTTTTTTCAATATGCATAACATCAAGAAAATGTCTTACGTACAAAGATTTCCAATATGGCAATTCAAAAAAAATCGACCTCTTCTTCCACCCACCTGTAACAACTTTATGTGCAAAAGGCTTGCCAAACTGAATACTCACATCTTTCACCTTTTCAAATAATTGATCACCTGTCAATCCAGGCGGAGCTCTACGTTGTTCGGTATCTCCGTTGAACGCTTTTCTCCATCCACGATATTGATGTTTAGAATTTAAGAATCTACGATGACCGAGAAAGACATTCTTCTGACAAAGTTTCAATAGCATCGTATCGGTTCCATCTTCACAGATAGGACACACTTTTTCACCTTTAATGCTATACCCGGATAGATTTCCGTAGGCTGGAAAATCGTTAATTGTTCCAAACAACATCGCCCTCAAGTTGAAACTTTCTTTCCTATACCCATCATAAACCTCCACACCGTTCTCCCACAAAATCTTCAAATCTTCGATTAAAGGTTCCAAATATACGTCTATGTCATTTCCTGGTTGTTTAGGCCCAGAAATTAACATAGATAACATCATGTACTTACGCTTCATACATAGCCACGGAGGTAGGTTATAAATCATAAGAATTACAGGCCATGTGCTATGCGAGATACTTTGAATACCGTGTGGGTTCATTCCATCAGTAGACAATGCCAAGCGAAGGTTTCTTGCGTCTTTTCCAAATTCAGGATAATCATTATCAATTTTCATCCACTGTGGTGAATCTGCCGGATGTCGAAACTTTCCATCAACAATTCTTTCATCTGCATGCCAAGTTAAATGTCTTGAATCGGTTTCACTACGATACATCCGTCTAAATCTCGGAATTATAGGAAAATACCATAAGACTTTTGCTGGAGACAACTTTTTCTTATATCGAGGGGCACCACATTTAAGACATTCATTTAACGATGCATACTCGTTTCGAAACAAAACGCAATCTTTTGGACAGGCATGTATCTTGTCATAGCTCATGCCAATAGAGTATAACATCTTTTTGGCCTCATACGTTCGATTGGGGAGAACATTATCCTCTGGTAGCATATCTTTCATAAGGGCTAATAACTCTGAAACTTTTATCCGACCATCCATTGCCCGCCTTTAAGTTGTACAACTTTAATACCGCAAACAATCTTGTGAATTTTGTACAACCATTATACAACGGTTTCTCTGCATCGCTTACCAACCTCTCGAACATTTTGGGACAATCATTAAGATCTTCTTCAAGCGCTTCTGCAATCTCTTCAACTCGATCATAATCGTATGTATCTGTGCCGTTGTCGTTTGAAGCATAGGTCCTATTATCCCCCGATTCATCATTCCCGTCACTTTTCTCACCATGCATATTCCAACATGTATAACTTCTATCAATTTCATACCGTATTAGATGCGATGCCAACTGAACCGCGTCAACCCGATTCCCATAACAGCAACACAAACAAGGACATGTCATTCGACCGGGGTCTTCGGCATGCGCAACAGCAAAATTAACGAATTTCGATACCCCGTTCTCGTACTCTTTCGACAATCGATTGGAATACATTCATGTCTTATCCATGGTTTACGGTTTCTGAGTCAATCTGAGCTAAACAAAAACTTAACTTAATCAATTTGTCGAACACTTGGTGTGAAATCAATTTTAATCAGATTTTTCTTTGGTTTTGTTGATATGAAAAATCAATTGCAATTTTATAGATTACAATCAACTCAACAAAAAATTGTTTAAAATATTATTGATAAGAAAATTATCTCAATATGTTGATTGCACAATCAATGAATTCACAATTTACAATAAAAATGAGTGAAAGAGAAGGAGAGATAAATTTGTTTAAGGAGTTCTCCTATCGATCTAAGGGCACACCTTCCCTTAATTTCAATGAAATTGAGATAATAACTTAAATGAAATTTCTACGACGATTTTTGCGGCCGTAAGAGCCAACCGTCGTTAATTTTTTGGTTATGTAAAGGCAAAATATATAGAATCCATTTGGTGGAAGGTACAAGTCACATTTCATGTCTTACGGCGGTCATAAGAACTGACCTCGCTCAAATTCCACGACCGTTCTCCACCAGCCACCATGTTCCTATATACCCATTTTCCAATTTACGCGGCTATGTTTTCCAAATTCTACCGCGTTTTCATTTTCTTTCAGAATCGTAAACCCTTGTACTTTTTCCATCCAAACTGAACCGTATTCCATTTTCCTAACCTAAAATTGCAAAAATTTCTTGATCTATCTAATAATATCAAATCTGCAGAATCATTTTTCTCTCACATCTCATGTACAAAGAAATTCAGTGAAGGTAAAAAGATGCAACTTTATTATATTAATTCATTGACAAGGTAAAAAGATTTTATACAATAATATCTTTCGTAGATGCAACTTTATTGTATTAATTCGTAAAACCTCTACAATATCTCTATGATTTGATTTAATTCCCATGGAATCATTTGTTGATTATGTTTGTGTTGCGTTAGTATAAAATTGGTAACTTTCCTAAGTGTCTAATCAATTGAAGAAAATATTTTGTATAGATTGAAAAGAAGAAACAATCACCTGACGGTTCTCTTGTTTTCTGACGATTTGACACGTTTGAGTTCTCCGGTGAGATATGTTGCTCTGAATCAGAAGGTCCTGGAGAAGTTAAAGAACCCGATTAATTTCCAAAACACATTAAACAAACATCAAAAGACAGAGAGCCTTAATCGGGAATCACAATTACCTGCCGTCCAACTAGTGTGAATGAGAAACACTAATTGTGCCTGCTAATCAATGAAACAAGAATTTTGTATGTCACTATGGCTTCCAAGAATATATTCCGTGCCCGATTATTCAATAAACGCTCAATAACTTTTAAAACATAATCACCTAACGGGAACCAAAAATTCAAGCTCTTATCCAATTCAAGTTCATGATATGAAAAATCAAGCTCAAAGTAAGCTAAAATCAACCGAACCAAATTCCGGGAAACAACTATGTAATCCTAATAATGATCAATAAAACTCATCTCAAACAAGTGTTCCATGTGCGCACGATAAACAACAATACCATAACCGAGTTCGTCATTCAAAACCAAATCACACAATGTCATCACAAATTCAAAGCCAACATGTTTTAAAACAAAATTAGGAACAATCAAAATCAACACCAAGTTTAATTCATTCAAGATTAACTCAAAATGAAATAACATATTAATAACATCATTAGAAAATCATCAAAGGGTTTTAGGAAACTTTCAAAAATCATCAAACAACAACAACAACCAATACACTGTAAATGAGAAGAAAATAATAATCAACGAACCTTGTGAAGATATGGACGACTCGTGCGGCGGCGATGAGGGTTGACGATGGTGGCTACCGTGAAAAATCACTTTGGACGAAGAAGGAACAGTAATGAAAAATCGCTTTGGGACGTTGGAAGAGAGGAGGAAACACAAGAGCCACGTACAGTACTAACACACAGCTTTAATCAAAAACATTAAAATTTATTATAAAACAACCTACGAAAGCGCTTTTAAAAGCGCTTTCTAATGGTCATGTATAACAGCGCTTTTTCATAAAAAAGCGCTTTCGTAGCATACCCTATAGCAGCGCTTTTAAAAGCGCTTTCTAAAGGCCAGATTTAGCAGCGCTTTTGAAAAGCGCTTTCTAAGGCTGACCTTTAGCAGCGCTTTTGAAAAGCGCTTTCTTAGGTTCCCTCTGAAAGTCACCCTTTAGCAGCGCTTCTCAAAAAGCGCTTTCTAAGGGTGACCTTTAGCAGCGCTTTTGAAAAGCGCTTTCTTAAGGTACCCTTTGAAAGCGCTTTTTTTAAGCGAATTTTTTTTAATACCTACAACAACGCTTTTTCCTAAAAGCGCTTTCGTATGTGTGATGCTAAAGCTTATTTTTGACGTAGTGAATATTCCAATTCAATATAGGACTATTTTCCTATTTACTCACATTTGCTATATTATTCCAATATATATATATATATATATATATATATATATATATATATATATATATATATATATATATATATATATATAAAGTGTGATTGGAAGTTGACGTTTATTAAGAAAATAAAAGATTTGTTTTTCTTATGTAAAGTGGTAATATTTGGATTTGGAAAAGGTTTTTAAAGGTATTAGTTTTTATAGGAGCTATCGTCTAATTGAACTTTATTGATTTTGTATTTATCAATTTTAAACTTGTACAGACATTAGCTAAAAAAAACTTGTACAAACATTTTTAATTATTAAGAGGAATAGATGGAAAGGTAAACAAGAAAAATTAAATAAAATTATAGTGATAATTTTTTATTGTACTGATTAGAAGGAATCGTCACTGGCCCACGAGTTTGAGTTGAATGATAATTGTTAAATGAAGTGGAAGGGTTGTATCTGTAAGATACTCCGATATCAAAGTAAGAATGAGTGCAATCAGAATGCAAGTACTGTAGTAAGTGAGTGAATAAATGAATGAATACCTAGCTCTCTCAAGTGAGAGGGTATTTATAGAGACTGTCAGGACCTACGTGTGTAATGGAGACCAGCACGTGGTCTCCATCCTGAATGAACTGCTCTGAACTATCAGGGAGACATGGATGCGGTCTTTTCGGGATCAAGAGGACTTTATGATATTCAGAGGCATTGGGTGTCTTCCCTACAAAGAGGATGCTCGCGAGGACCTCCTGAGAGCTGTTGATCCTCCTCGACGGCCATGTGGCGAGGATGTCTTCGGAGGACATGTCCTCGGTGTGAGGAGTGAAATAACTGTCTGACATGGTCAAGGGCAGACTCACTCATGATGATCCTCTTCCGCAACATAGTTGGATTGAGCCTTGTATAATGTTTGGACCAAGAACAGGCCCAGTCCAGAACACGAGCCCTCAAGTCGTTGCTCATAAGGGAAGGAGCTATGACTTAAGACCAACTTGACGGTCTGACGAGGATAGTTACGCCGGGGTCCTCTATTTCTTCGAGGGACGAGGACATGCTTATATAGTAGTTGTTCGGATAGAAGTTGGAGCGCGTTTGCGGGGATAGTTGACATGTTCCTCGACTCACGGGGAGACAAAAAGTTTGCAGGAGAATCACTTTGCGGGCCACGTGGCATAGCTCTTAGGGTAGAATGACGACCTAGGGAGTAGGGGTCATTATGACTTTGAATGCATCGACGACGGAGAAAAAATTAGTTGACATATTGTTCGACGCGACGCTTTGTCTTTCGCACAAGTTTTATAAATAGCGCCCAATGGCTTATTTGTAATATTTTCAAGTTCTTGTTTCATCCTTTCCCTTCACTGTCATTAGTTTTCCTCTCAGCCGTGAACACTGTCGCAACTTCCGCCGCAGAATCCATACCAACTCCACTCAAGTAAGTGTTTCTCTGCGATCATTCTTGTTTATAGATGGCTTTTGCATTTTATGTAGGTTTTCTAAGGGGCTACCCCGTAGAATTCATGGATTTTCTGATGAATTTCATTATCTGGGGGATTTTCCCTCGGGGTATTCATAGTTCTCATTGCAAAACTCATGAGTTTGGTCGTGAAACTCATCTTCTCCTCGCAGAACTCACGAAATTGTTCGGAGAATTCATCTCCTCCTCGCAATGCTCATGGGGTTTCTCGGGAAATTCATATTTTCCTTGCGACACTCATGGGATTGCTTGGGAAATTCTTATTTTCCTCGCGACACTCATGGGATCGCTCTATAAATTCATATTTTCCTCACGATACTCATGGGATTGTTCGCTTCTAGCTGAACGAGGGTTTGTCAATGCGGTTTGGTCGTAGCAATCCCATTTCACTTGTTTTGTGGTGGAATGGTGGATTTGATTTACCTGTCGAATTCAGTGGTTTCCTCTACTTTACATATGAAATGGTCGAACCAGCTGAGGTGGCCTACCTAGACGAGCATGTCGAGATAGAGGAGGCAAGTGGAGCCGATGAAGGTTACCATTTGGTTAACACTATCATCGATGAGTCGTTGTCCTGGGTCGGGCCAGATTCCCGAGGAATAGCCTTGGTCTTTAGTGGTTCTTGGAGGGAAGTGTACATGGTTGTTGAATATGGCAACGACGAAGAAGGTTTTAGACAGTACACCATGATATTACGACCGTCCCCTACGGCCAGAATATGTTCCTGTTTCCCGGAGGATCATTTCCCTATGTAAAAAGTCGTCTTCAAGGATTTGGGGCTTCGTCTGCCCTTTAGTGACTTTCAAATGGGCGTCTTTAATCATTTATCTCTGGCACCTTCCCAACTGCATCCCAACATGATCGCCTTTATACGGGAGTTTGAGATCACTTGCCGGTATCTTAGAATTGGAGCGACGATTCCATTGTTCTTCAAGATTTTCCACATTCAACGGAAGTCTAAGGGAGGAAAGCATAATTGGGTTTCTTTTAAGCAATCCAAGAGGCTGGTCAGGATGTACATGGACTATGTTTTCAATTTCAAGGATAAATGGTATATCGTGCACCCTGCGTCTCAAGAGGTTGTGGATGCGGTGTTTGACCCAGCTATTATCATCGACGAGGACGTGGAATTTTGTTACGATGAGAATGGGAACGAAGAGATTGGGAGGCTCTCTAAAATTCCTATCTATTGGTGTCAGGCTCATTACAATCATGGGCCTGGTCACTACCACACTTCTGCCATTAGTATGGGTAGCGAGGATGAAGGGGCCTTCAACGTCCTCAACAAATTCGCCGATGGTTTCTTCCCCTCCAGGTGGGTGTTGCGGGAGGGAGACGACGTCCTTGATGGTGATAGTGAACCTACGTTCGAGGTGTGACCGATCAATACCAAGGCGCTCATTAAATGTCGTACTTACAGGGACGCCGCAACTCTTCTGGGTCTCTGCCCACGTAATCCTATTGCCTTTTGTTTTAACTTTGTTCGTATACATCATAATTCTAATAAAGAGGAAGCCCAACCCAACTAAGATTAAGATCATAATTCTAATTAAATAAAATATAAAAAAATAAATTAATAATAAATGAGAAAAATGAAAAAGGTTGAAGTAACATCATATTGTTACGGTTATACTTACACCAAAACAAAATGAACATTAAAATAATTTGTAATCTTTGATTTTTCAATATTAACATTCATACCATAGAAACTGAGACACGTGGCTTCTAATAATATAACAAAAATAATAATTAACAAATGAATTAAATTATAGAAAAGAAAACAAACATAACAATATTTGTTTCTCTCTCTCATTCGTGATATCCACAGAACAACAACAAACAATCCATTCTCTTCTTTTGCCAAGGATAGCAACAACAACTAAAATCCCATGAAATTCTTCATCATTTTTTTATGACAAAAACAAAACATGCTCAGATCAAAATATCAAGAAGTATGTCTACCTTGGTTTCATTGGAGATGGGCGAGGGTGTACTCGTGGGCGGATCTGACACGGTTCTCAGTGGCTGTCGCATGAGATGTCGCCGGCGGATCTGAAAGGCGGAGGAGCTTCGTAGATAGTTCTATGTGGTGATTTGAACGGCTGCTCTGCATGGCGATGGGTGGAAGATTAGAAAAGGTTCCGATGGCGGAGATCGATCGGAGCCGAGGCGGTTGAGCGACTCAGTTTTTGGATCTTGCTTTTCTTTTATTTTTTCTGTAAAACAAAAAAAAAATAGAGCAATAATTATGGTGTTTTTTGAATTCCAATTTGCATGTTGCAGTGAGTTTCAAATTGACCAATGTTGTGTAGTTAGATATTGGTTTGTTAGTTTACAGGTGTTATTTCAAAATAGAGGTAATGCTTTATGATGAAAAAGTTAGTGAACACTTGGTTTTCCATATGAATGTTTTATGGTTTTGTGGAGAAGCAAGGAAACAAAAGTGTAGAAATTAGGCATTTGATTTTTAATTGTGACAAAGGAAATATGTATGCACCGTGTTGTTTTGTATAGTCTGTGAAAAAATTGGATTTTTTTTAGTAAATTAAATCAAAACTATAATAAAAAGATTTTCTATAACAATTTTAAAATTAATTCACAAAAGAGTTAATTTCTATAATTTATTCATAAAAAAAACATGAGGATTGTTGATGTCGGAAACAAGATGTGATTTTGGTCAAAAGATTGATTGACTAATGTCAAAAAATATATACACAGTATGTATAATATTTTGTGGTAATATATGGTTTAATAAGTGTGAAAATAATTATTAAGGGTTTTCTATTGCATAAAGTATGTCATAAAAAATGTTATTACAACAATAAATATAATAAACCAAAACATCATCAGGTTGATATCATATGATTAAAGATAAATAATTGGAGATAACAGATAATGACCTCATATGAAATCATCGACCAAGAATAAAAACCACAAATGAAAAGAAATTGTAAAACAAGAAGCATATGTGAGTGAATGAAATTTTAAAAATTATGGATATTGTGGATGAAATACTAGGACAAATAAGAGTCCTATTTATAGACTTGAATTAGGTTAAAAAAACTTAGAGAGTAAGTTATCCAAAATGTATGAAAAGCCCAAGCCCAATTTCTAAAAAAGGAAAGAAAACTAGTAACAAAAAGAAATAGAAAAATGTTAAAAATACATCACACAAGATTCAAACCCGCGACCTCATACTTGCAAGCTTCATTCTTTACCAATTGCAGTATGTTACTCATTTGTAAATAAACTCAATTGAAAGTATATGAAAGGTGTACAAATATTTACTATTTTAAAAATACAAATAATTTGAAATAAATTATTATATTTTTAACTGGACTTGAGAACGAATATTTATAGAACCCCAAAATACTAATGTAAATAAAAATAAATTTATAAAAATCAAAGTTTGAAATTAATTTATACTGTAGTGATAAAGGGCGGGCAAATTTGGTGTATGACAACTACCCCTATTTAATCACTCTTCGATTGAATGGTGCGAGAATACATAGGTCTCTCACGTTCGAATCAGAGGGTCATTAAATAATGGAAGACCCCAAAATATGGACCAAAGCATTATTAAATAAGGGTACACTGATATAGCATACCTCAGAGCTCCAAGAAATATGCAAGGACGATGATGTATCATCCTACCAGAGTTTGAATAAATAAATTGGCAAAGATGATGATGCATCATCCTACGAGAGTTTGAATAGAGAGATATGATTGAAGAGTAAGTATAGATGGTGATGTATCATCTTACCAGTGTTTGAACCAAAGTTTTGATTTAACTTGGACACGACGACGCGGATAACTCGTCAGTATCTAAGAGAGATTGTAGATTTTTTTTTTGAATATTTACAAAAATACAAGTTTTGAAAAGTTGACTTACTAATGCTTGAAGACTAATATAGCAAGTTTGGATTTGATTTAATTTCGTATATTCATCGCAACCTAAGGGATGAATAAAACAAATTCTGATAACACATTACTGCCGGGAGACTGATGCAATGGATTACACAAATTTATTCGCATGTCTATCGCAACCTAGGGGATAAATATTTTAAAAGAGCTTAATAAATACATTGCTGCATGGATCCTGACGCAATGAGCTATATCGCGGATTTCACGTATTACTGCATGGAGACTAATGCAATGGGTTATATTACAGAGGAGGAACTTGTGTATTTATCACAACCTAGGGGATAAGTAAAACACTGTTTGATAATACATTGCTGCATGGAGACTGATGCAATGGATTATGAGGATTTATTCGCATATCTATGGCAACCTAGAGGATAGATGATTGAAAAAAATCTTGATAACTACATCGCTGCATGGAGACTAAGGCGATGAGTTGTATTGTAGATTTCACACATTGTTGCATGGAGCCTGACACAATGAGCTATATCACAGAGGAGGAAACTGTGTATTTATCACAACCTAGGGTATAAATAAAACACCATTTGATAATACATTGTTGCATGGAGACTTATGCAATGGATTACACAGATTAATTCTCATATCTATCACAATCATGGGATAGATAATTGAAAAATCTTGATAACTACATCACTGCATGGAGACTGATGCAGTGGATTATACAGATTTATTTGCATATCTATCACAACCTAGGGGATATATAATTGAAAAAATCTTGATAACTACATCGCTACATGGAGACTGAGGCAATGAGTTATATTGTAGATTTCGCATATTACTGCGTGGAGCCTGACACAATGAGCTATATCATAGATTTCCCACATTGCTACATGGAGACTGACGCAATGGGTTATATCACATAGGAGGAAACATATCACTGCGTAGAGACTGACTCCATGGATTATATTGTAGATAAGAAAACACATCGCTATGTGAAGACTGACGTAATGGGTTATACTGCAAATTTCGTACATTGCTGCATGGAGCCTGACGCAATGAACTATATCGTAGAGGAAGGAACACAATGATGCATGGAGACTGATGCAATGGATTAAATTGAAAACTTCACACATTGTTGCATGGATCCTAACACAATAAGCTAGATTGCAAAGAAGGAAAATGCATTGCTGCATGGAGCCTGACGCAATAAGTTATATTGTAGAGTAGGAAAATACATTGCTACATGGAGCCTGACGCAATGAGTTGAATTGCAGATTTCACACATTGCTCCATGGAGCCTGACGCAATGAGCTATATCGCAAAGAAGGAAAACACATTGCTGCATAGAGCCTGACGCAATGAGTTGAGTTGCAGATTTCTCACATTACTGCATGGAGCCTAACACAATGAGCTAGATGACAGAGGAGGAAACACATTGTTGCATGAAGTCTGACGCAATAAGTTAAATTGAGGATTTCATAAATTGATGCATGGATCCTGACACAATGAGCTAGATCACAAAGAAGGAAAACACATTGCTGCATGGAGCTTGACGCAATGAGTTAAGTTATAGAAGAAGCTATTTTGATGATCAAATCTTAGATAACAAGATCAAAGATGAGATCAGATTTTTACCGATTGTGTCTGTTCTCAACCAAGGTAAATGTTTAGCATAAAAATGCTAGGTTTGAAGATTGAAACCGAAGTTTCACTGATGATGCCTGTTGTGTCTGTTCTCAACCAAGGTTATCATCATGAAGAAATGAACCACAAATTCACTGATGAAGTCGATTGTGTCTGTTCTCAACCAAGACTATCATCATGAAGAAATGAACCCCAATTTTTTTATACTAATAAAGATGGTTGTCTTTGTTCTCAACCGAGGCTTGATTAACATGATAACCAAAAGAAATTGAGTGTTTTGAGAGGTTCAAACTTGAAAATTTTGATTTTGATAATTGCAAGTGTAATGCCCGGAGGGTGGTGATGACTAGGTGTCATACGGTGGCAGAACCAACTATTAATACTGGTTTTGCATTTGTGTTTACAAATGTTACGGTAAGTAAGAGTCACCACCGACTTTTCTTTTATCCAACAAAGGAAAGGATGAAAAGAACAGAAAAAGACCTTTTCGAGAATTTTCTGAGTAAGGGGGGTAGATTATGGAAAGGGAAGGTGTTAGCACCCTTTCCATCCGTAGTTTTCTACGGGCTCTTAGATGCTTAGCTCATTTTGAAAGTACCTTGTGCTTTGTGTGTTTGATTTTTTTTTGAAATTCCTTAGTGCGGCGATTCGCTTTGTGTTAACTCTTGTATCAGTCCTCAAGAGTGTTGACAAACAAAATGTTTTCAAAAATTGTTTTTAAAATGTGTAAGTGTGAAAAGTTAGTTTTATTTGAGCATAACATCTAATAACTATCTACTTATACTCGAAAAAGTTGTTCTTTTCCTCCTATCCTTTAGACAGTGCTATCCTACTATTAGTGAGTAGGTAGCCCTATCTTTGGATGTTTGAGGGATGTTCGAAGGGACGTTACAGTCACAAAGGCAACTTGTGGAGACGCTTTAGCAATTTTGTTTAGGGACTAGATCATTTACCAAAAGGCAACTGTAGGGTCATCGAGGGACTATGATCTTTTGATTTACGAGTCTTTGCTAAAGCGTCCCCGCTTCAAAGGACATGACTGTTTTATTTCCGAAGGCAACCAAAGTAGGGGTACCCTAGAGGTGTATATGTATATGTGATTCAATTTAGTTTATTTATCTTGTGTTAAGTTTGCTAGTGTTGATTTTCAGTCTTGTCATACAATTCTATTAGTTTAGCAGTTAATATATATACAGTAATTAAAACTGCGGAAATGTAAAGTGCGGAAACATAAATCCTACGCTATTATAGGGATTTGGGGATTAATTACATGTCCAAGAATGAGGGGGATACAACAGTAAATATCCGAGTTTTAATCTATTACATCCAGTAGGCAGATACAATAATATGAAAAACGTGAAAATAATTAAATGCGTGCGGAGTAGAAAAGACGTCTTAAAAATCCTAAGGTGTAAAAATATTTTTGTTTGTTTTTAATTTTTATGCAAAGAAAATAAATTGAGAAAATAAAATTAGACCTACATTCTAATTTATTTTAATTCTTTTTG